CGTACATCCTTGCATGAGTATTTCTGAAGGACGGATTTCTATACATTGAATGAGTAGATCAAAAATATATAAATATTTAAAATTTCGACCACCATCAATGGTCCGATAACCTCTAGAGGCATCCTATGTGTCAGGCGCTAAGCACTTTATCCTGATAAAATCATCACAATCTCCCCCAGCCACCCGGTGAGGCAGATATGTTCCTATCCCCATTTTGTAGATGCTCAAGGTCATATGAGTAATAGAGCATGGCTTCAACCCAGGCAGCCTGGAGCTAGAACCTGCGCCTTAACCATGGTTAATAACCAAACACGTTAAACTGATCGTACTTTACTGCTTGACTTTGCCATTTTTCTAACTTATTCTAAAGTTGAGTTCACAGTGTGAGCTGACAGAAGAGTCTGGACTGATACAAATGTTGAAACGTCCCTGGGGATTGTATCCGTCTACAGGTTGGATGATGAGAACGGAAGCCACGGGTGGCTGGAAGACGAAATTCCTTTCTTCTCGTAGTGATCGGGACAGACAAAGAGACTATCTTTTTTATTTTTTTTTTGGTCTGTGAACTATCTTCATGCCAGAAAAATAACTTAAAATTTTTTTCTATTTGTGTGTAGGAACCTTGTAAGAAATTCACACAGTGTCTCTAAGGTTCAGAACGCTAGAGATAGTCATGTTACTTCGTAGCGTCGTATGTGAGATTTTCCGGCATCCCAGCTTCACTCAGCCAAGGCTCCCTGCTCCTAGTCCAGGTTTTCAGTCACCCAGCGGAACTAACCGTGAGACCCACCTGCTTGAGTGTTGAATTCTGACTCTCTGGAAGGGATCAGAGGGAGCCGGAGAGTTTGCCAGGTGGGGAAATGGGTAGAAAAGAGCCTTCGATGCTGAGAGAAGTTTGTGTTCCATCCATGACAATTCTGATGTGAAACCTTCTTAGTGGGATGATTTTCTCGGTGAAATCCAAGCTGCACGTGCTTCCTGAGCCCCCGAGCTGTAAGGATTTATGCCCAGACATTGCCAAGTTAGTCCACCTAACCGTGGAAGGTGATATGCTCACCTGCTGTCTCAGGTGTCTTATCTCACACACCTTCATACTCTGCTGACCTTTGTGGCTGCGCAGTGCGATATCAGATGCCTGGAGCCAAAGAGGCCTCTGACCATGCATTAATAAATAGCTATTTCGGGGATTTTGTTACCTTAAAATGTCAATTATAAGCAAGTGAACTTACTTTTTATGTTTTTACAGTCGTGTGTGTGTGTGTGTGTGTGTGTGTGTGTGTGTGTGTGTGTGTGTTTCTCCTAGCAGGTTGGCAGCTCTGGAGAAGAACTGCGTAGCAGTTGGCTTAGAAAAGCAGTTTTTCAGTCTTGGCTGCACACAAACATCACCTGGGGAGCTTTTAAAAATCCTGATGCTCACGCCAAATCCCAAACTGATTAAGTCAGAATCTCTGAGGATGGGGCCCAGGCATCGGGACTTTTAAAAGCTCCCGGTGATCGCCGTGCAGCCAAGATCGAGAACTGTTGGCTTCGAAGGTATCTTCTCTTTTTCATTTATAGTGTTTTCATCTGGACCTCATTTTATGTAGTTGAAGCGAATTTTAAGAATAGACGTTAGTCCCCCCAAATCCCTTTCAAACTGGGGCGAGCCTCAGAATGACCTGGAAGGCTTGTTAAGGCACAGATTGCATACCTCTTCTCATTTCTTCTTCCAGGACAAGCCCGCCCTTCGGATTTCTGAGTCGTTAGGTCTGAGTGGGGACCCAGGAATTTGCCTTTCTAGGTTCCCTGTTCTGGCGATGCTGTTGGTACAGGGAGAGCCTCTGTCCTAATGCCTTCCTTCCACCTCTCTTCTGCTCTTTCTTTCCCAGCAGTGGCGATCAGGGCAGCTGCCTCCGAGGCAGTCCTCACCCCATCAGTGTGAGGGAGGCTGATGGATGCTCGAGGAAGCTTTAGCTAATCATACAAACTAACTTTAAACAAATGCGACCCTCTCTTCACACCAGATTGCTCCCCTCTTAGCCCTTGCTACTTCAGAATCAGAGCCACCACTGGGCAGGTTTCTGGCGGCCCAAATGGACCTCGGATTCCGCCTCCCCACAGAAACGATTTTATGAACGGTGTTCAGGTACAGCTGAGACAGTGCCATTAAAACCATTCTTCGGAAATGCCGTGGTCTCAATGAGCTTCTGTGGGCTGCCTTCCTGGACCCTAACCACCATTTAAAGAGCTGAGTTTCTGAGTTTCAGAAAACCAATTTTCAGACAAACTCCTAGAACAGACCTTGTTGAAGAACTACCTGTGACTGAAACATTTGGTTCACTTTGTTTAGTTATTTTGCCCTTTCCATTTGGAGCCAAAGTTGGGTGGGGAGGTGGGGAGGGACTGTCATTCATTCCACTAATATTTATTAGGTGCTCACAATGTACCTGGCACTGCTATGTACTGGGGACATAAAGATGAAAAAGACAGCCCCTGCCCTAGAGAAGGTCATGTTCTAGGTGGGAAAATATTTACTGAGCAAATAAGAAAATATTTACCGAGTTACCAATGTGATATGTGCAGTAATGAAGAACTGATGAAGGAAGGGTCTGTTCTGCCTGGAGAGAGAGACTGTGTGTGTGCGTGTGCGCGCGAGTGTGTGTGCACGCGTGTGTGTGCGCGTGCACGTGTTTGCTTAGGAGAAGAGACGCGTTGAAGAGCTTTAGAATCAGGAGAGATCGTTCGGCCTTGAAGACCATGGGGGGTTCCCCAGGCAGAGAAGGGGGTGAAGGGCGTCCAGGATGATGGAACAGTCAGAATGCAGGGGCTAATGAGCTATGCAAGAATGGCACGTCACTAGGTCAGCTCTTCTTGTAGGACAATGGAGGGCGACTGGAAAAGGCATTAAGTGCCACACGGAGTTTGAACCTTAACCCGGAAGAGGAAATAAGAAGAGTTACACATAGAACTGAGTCGATGTGTGTGGTATTTGCATTTTTATCTAAGACCTTCTTTTTTAAGAACTTTCTTCTCTTGTATGTTTCTCACTACCCCAAGGAAGACACGTTTTTGGTTTTTTTTTCGACAAAATGTTAATACTTTGAAAATGCCTTGAATCAAGTGGATTTCACACCTGGGCTCTGGGCAGCCCCTCCAAGGCTGGCTGGGGCAAGCCTGCCCGCTAGGCACCCTGCCCCCTCACTAGCTCTTCTGTTATCTATCCACCTACCAAGCTTTCTTCAGACTGTTCTATGTATTGGGCACTTCTAGTCAGAATATTATATTTTGGAAAAGGGTATGTAACTGAAAAGAAACCCAAACGTTTAACACTAGCATAATCTAATCCTCACACATTTAGTAATAGTCCAAGGACTTTGGTATGGGGAGCTGGCCAAAGAATAAGTGTTTTCAGACCATCGGCTGAAGATATGATGTCAGGCAGGCACTGATGTGGACATGGGACTAGTGACGATGGTTGGTGGCATGAGCCTTTAGTTGGCCATAAGAGGTAATGATAAAATCATATCTTCCCAGGATGATCTAACACTTGAAGATCAATGTTCAAATTTCCTTATGAGGAAAAACTCTTCTTAAGCATTTCAGATCATTCTTTATACTTTAAAATTTCGTTCCATTGCGTCTTGATCTCTTGCCTATATCTACTATTCCATTCAATATAAAAATAAATTATGCAGTAGCGTTTAAGATTTTTACATCAAGAATTTGACCCTTGCTAGAATCTGCGTTAGCAAGCAGTGTTATCATTAGGTATAAAAAGTATATCTCTATACATATCATGTTATAATTATTTCTGTCATCCTTAGATAATATACTAATTTAGTTTTAATCACTTTTCCAATAAAAACTAAAGGGACTTGCCAGTGTATTCTGTACTTACAGATGACCTTAGCATTTAAACATAGCTTAGCGGCGCTGGGGTACAAGTGCCAGAGAATGTCTCTGGCAGCACAGGGTCATCACAAGAAGGAAAATACATCTGCGGAAGCATTCTATCACCCGATGGAAGGACAGCACAGGGCACGTGGGGAAAAGAGATGCACAGCTCTGAAAATTTGGAAGTGTCTTAAATAAGTCTATAGAAATCTTTTAAAAGTCAAGTGTATCCCTGTTAAACTCTCACCAGCCTAACAATATGTTTTAAGTGCTTATCGTCGTCTGTGCCTTTAAGGAAACAGTCTAATGGGTTAGTCGCTCTGAACCCTCCTGTTTTAAAAATAATTTTTCCTGCAGTTTTAATTGTTGGTCTCCATGTTTCTTGTTTGAGAGTGATATAAGACCTGCTTTCTCTTACATTGAATTAATATTTACTGTATTGGTTCCCAGGTCTGAGCATCTGGTTTCATTTCTAAGTGGAAACGAACCCATTTTTCTTGGTGCTGAGTCAGTGTTTTCTCAGCAGGCCCCGGGATCTCTGTACTTTCTGGAAGAAAGAGCTGACTGTGGAAGAACAATGCTGAGCTGTGGCCAAAGAAAGCTTCAGAGAAGCACCTGGGTCCTCCTAGCCAAGGCGGAAGTGCTGTTTTTTTTTTTGGTTTTTTTTTTATGCTGGGTCTCCTCTGTTTTGGCTCTTAAATCAATAATCGGTAGTAGAGGCGTTTTTGAGAAAATGAAGATATATTCGAGGAGTGTAGCACTGAAATAGGCGGGTAACGTACGTGATAGAATTTAGAAACACTAACAGCCTTTCAGGAGCATCTTAGGCTGCATTTTTCGTTTATACATAATTAGAAGAATAAATAGACTTACAAAAGAGATTTTCGCCACAATTAGTTGTCAGTGGCGTTGATTACTGTTTTATCACCATCTGTGATAACATGTCATTCATGGAACTGATTGGACATATGGTTGTTCAGCCAAGTTGTTGGTTTACCTGTGACTGTAGTTAAAACAGGTGAATGAACAACCGCTGCAAATGGAACTTTGTATAAGAGTCTTGAAATCTTTTGTTGAAGTCCTGGGTTCCCACTGCCATGCCAAACTTGAAAGTGTTTCAAAGCTAGTAAGCAGTCTTCTTTTAATGTATTTTATTCACTGGAGATTAAAGACAGAAGCTCTTTAATTAAACACAAAAGATACCTTTTGCCATAATTAACAGCCTGGGATTTTTCAATCGCTTTTGGGTGCGGTACTGAAAATTAAGATAATTATGACTTTTGCATATTCTCTGTACCTGAAGACGGGAAGAGTTCTGGCTCCATCTGTCAGGTCGATAAATAATGTTCTCCCTTTGATTCGAACAGCCACCCTCTCTTCTGGAATATTTCGGATCCCAGGGCTGAAGCTGCCCATCGGTAATGCCGATTCTGTTACAAAATGAGCCAATGAATGTTCTGATTGGAAGTGGGGTTTATTAAGGAAATACACTCGAAATATAAACGAAGTCCTATTTTACAAAAATGCTCCTTTTTTTATCCTCTGCACACAGTGGCGGGACTGCAGGTTGACGCTGCAGGCTTCCCATGAGCGAATGCCTGTGGGCTAGTCTCGAAGCTGTTTTCTTTGTGGTTTGCCTCCTGTCCACTGGGAAGCCTGTATTCCTTTCGTTTTCATTTTTTTCCAACTCCAGTGCTTTTGAACACAGAACCCCCATCCTCCCACCACCCTAACTGCACATTCCAGCCCCGTGATTTCATCGTACCAGGCGTATCTCCCCTGCCATGCCGGCGGGCTGCCTGCTGACTCTTGCAAGGGGGGGAACAGACGGGAACATAAACTCACCACAGAAGAGCAGGATGCTTTCTGTATATTTTTAAGACCAGGAATCCAGTTCTCATTTAGAGGCTGTATTTTTTTTTTTTAATGGTTCCTCGAACACCAAACAAAACATTTCTTGTTGCTCTTAATTCTTGATCGCGTCATTCCCTCCACATGGACGGATAGAATCACAGAAACTGGAGAATGCAAAAGATGTGTTAGATCGTGTTCAGTCCGTTTCAGCTGCTCACAATTCTTTCTTCCCACAGTCTGTCCTCAACGGCTTCTCTCTCCTAGTTTTCTTAAGAATTAGCCTTTCCGTTTCTCCTGGGGAAACATTCTTTAGTTTAACCGTGGAGGGATTTATGTGGAAATGTTCATATTATTTCAACTCGTTATTCCTAGTCTTCATAACTCTTTATTTTAGCATAAACAGCCCCTCTTCATCCTAGCTCAAGTATTTCTGGATGGTATTTTTTTCTCTTTCATTTATTAAGTTCAGAGCTTGTTTTCCTGCTTTGCTTTCTCTTTTCATCAATCAGTCCCTAAAGCCCATTAATCATTTTTTTACCTCACTGAAAGCTCCTTTGCTTATTCCCGTATTAGGATCTCAGGGCTGGTTAAGGTCCCAAGTTACTGGACAAAGCCTCACTGATAGGTGCTTTTCTATGCTAACTTTTCTCTTGCCTCATGCTTTCTCTCTCTCTCTCTCTCTCTCTCTCTCTCTATCTCTCTCATGCACACACACCTTTCCTTCCCTCCCAGCCTCAGTCTTACTTACAAACTATTTTTTAAATAATGATTCTAAATTATGCTTTGGAGAGTTAGTAATTTGAAGGCTCTGTGTGTGTGTATAGTTTTAACTGGTAAGATTATATTTGTTCTCAGTTACTTAAAAATATTTTTTATATTCTCAGAGTCACGAATCTTTTAGGTCTCCTGAGTGCTTAGATCAAGTGCAATTCTGAACCATGGAACTATGATGTAACATTCTACTTTAAGGCTATCATCTCAGGAGCAGAGAGGAAAGTTAGTAGGTTTGGGGAAAATAGACCATATTTGTAGGATCTGATATTCTTGGGGAAAGAGAAAGGCAAAATTTAAGTAGCCCTGGAATTCACATATCTAAAGTAGATTAGCTCTTAGGAGTGAGCTATTGTTAGGTATAAAGATAAGGACTTTTTTAGGTCACTTTTTAAAATTTTCAGCTTTATTGAGGTATAATTGACAAAACTGTAAGATATTAAAAGTGAATATTGTGGTGATTTGATATACATTGTGAAAGGATTCCCTTCATCTAGTTAAATAACACATCCTCCATCTCACATATTTATCTTCTTTTTTTTTAATGAGAACATTTAAGTTCTAGTCACTTAGCAAATTTGAGTTATATAACCATGTTACCAACTCTGGTCACCAGGGTTTGCATTAAATATTCATATGCTACATGATTTCCTGGATCAGAGGACCCAATATTAGAAAGATGTCAGTTCTCCCCAAAGCAATCTATAAACTCAACATAATCCCAATCAAAAACCCCAACAACTTTTTTTTTTTCCTCTTGGAACTTGACAAGATGATTGTAAAATGTACTGAGACATGTAAGGGACCAAGGCTGAGTAAGATACTCTTGAAGAAGAAGAAGAAGGTAGAAAGATTTGTTCCACCAGATCCCAGGATGTATTTAAAAAGGAATCGTAGTACTGACGCAGTAGACAAATAGACCAGTGGACCAATGGGACAGAAGAGAATGACCAGATTCAGACCCAAACGTATAGAGATCCTTGATTTATGACAGAAGTCACATTCCAGAACAGTGAAGAAAGAATCTTTTCGATAAAAGATTGTGGTGCTGGAACATTAGAGATCTAGATGGGAAAAAGAGAAAAGAGCAAAGAAAGAAATTGGATGCCTACCTCACACCATATGCAAAAAACCCCAAATGGATACAGACTTAAGTGTGAAAGATAAAACTTTAAAGCATACACATACCCATGCGTATGCTTTCTATAAGTATATATGTGTGGGTGTATGTGTGTGTGTGTGCACATATATCTTCATGACCTCAGGGCATTGAAAGATGTCTTCTATAACATAAAAATCTGTAGTCAAAAATTACATATTTGGTAAAATAAGGCACATCTCTTTATCAAAAGATAACGTGAACAAAGATAGTCATGCAATGAGAGAATATATTGAACACACATGTAATCGACAAAATATTAGTATCCAGAACATATAAAAGTTTTTGCATCAATAAAAAGACAACCCATTCTGAGAAAAACTAACTTGAATAGCTCTCCACAAAGAGGAAATAAAAACGGCCAATAACCATAAGAATTCTCAACTTCTTTCATAATCAAAGTAATGCAATTAAACCTTAATAGAGTCTACTAGTATCCACTCAGATTAGCTAAAAAGAGAAGTGTCGGCAAAGTGTTGATGAGGGTGTGGAGCAACAGGAATTGATGGTAGAAACTGCAAATTGTTACATACTCAAAAGTAGTTTAGCGCACTGTAGTGCAGTTGAAGAGACATATGCATACTTGATGACTCAGCAAGTCTACTCTAGAGAAACTTGGCACGCAGTTATACGAAGATACATGTATTAGAGTGCTCTCTTTTGGCCTGTAACTTTTTTTTCTTTTGTAAATTTTCAAACCTACAGAAAAGTTACAGAATTGAGGCACTGACTGTAATAAAGTCTTAGTAGATGGCAGCTATGCAAAATGTGACAGCTCATGGAAAGAGCATGTGTGGGGTTTGACCAGTGATACCTGGCTTGAAATCCCAGCTCCATCACTTATTAGCCGTGTGACTATTATAGGCAACCTATTAATATCTGGGAGTTTCAGTTGTCTCATCTGCAAATTGGATAATAATATGCCTACCATATCGAGTATTATAAGGATTAAATTCATTAATGTATATAAAGCACTGAGCATAAAGGCCTGCAACATAATAGGTGTCTGGTGAATTATGGCTGCTATTATTAACATTTTTATTGCTAAAAATTACAATGGCGCATTTTATTTTTTTACAGCCTTTTAGTTACAGCACATTTACTATACATATATTTACTTTTGTTTTTTCACTATAGAACGCAAAATCGTTTGAGGGGAAAAATTGCATTTTTTCACTCTGTATTATATTTTTTTCATCTCATTTTCTATTATAAATTTAATATTAGAAAATATAAATGTGGGAAAAAATGACCATGACAAATTTTTTTTTATAATTTAAAAAATTATACAGAATTAAAGACTTTTTTGAAGTCATACAAAACTAAGTATGATTTATCAAAAGTAAAAGGAAAAGTTAAATAACTTTATCAAGAAGTAATATTAGACATAGAGTATAGGTTTCCAAATTTCTAGCCCAAGATCCTGCACACTTAATTATGTAATTAATTTCCCTTAAGATATACTGATATATCAGCAATTACTTTTAAAGAAAACCCATTTTAGTAAATGGTAGCCTTTACCCCTAATGCTTCATTGCCTTTACTGCAAAATGAATGAAATCACGTGAAAACCCTTGAGGCCCCTTTACTCTCCCATGAAATTTGATTCTCTGTCTGAAGTTTTCCTCACTGACTCCCAGATTCAGTCATCTTTTCCTCTTGGGAACACCTTCCTGTCCCCCACTATTTATCTTTCCAAACCGATCAAGGTCATGTTGCCACATAGTACTGTTATTTACCTTTTCATAAACGTTTTCCTCTCTCTCCAATTAGATCGCATTCTCTTGGGAATGCAGACTTTTTCTCATGAGCCTTTGTATTTGTAAGTTTTTGAACTCAACCCTCCCCCTCCATTGTAAATATCAGTTTCTGTTTCTAATAGCACCTAACATCATACTTTGCACAGAGAAGGCATAAAATAAATGCATAAAGATGACAACTGTCAGATTACAGTTTAAAAAAATAGGACTCGCCATTACAGCTATGGTAACTTGGATTCATGGATTCTGCCTCGAAAGCAAATACGTTTATTTTCCTGTGTTCCAGAAAGACGCCGTGAAGCGAATATTCTCTGGCATTCAGCCTACGGGGATCCCCCACCTTGGGAATTACCTGGGAGCCATTGAGAGCTGGGTGAGACTGCAGGACGAGCATGACTCCGTGCTGTACAGCATTGCCGACCTGCACTCCGTCACTGTCCCCCAGGACCCAGCCGTCCTGCGGCAGAGCATCTTGGACATGACTGCTGCTCTTCTTGCTTGTGGCATAAACCCCGAGAAGAGCATCCTTTTCCAACAATCTCAGGTCAGTGTCTTAGATTAGAACGAAGAAAACTTTTATTTTCAGATTATTTAAAGAAAAGTTCGAATGGCTTATATAGCTCCTGTTTGTGATTTAAAAAAAAAAAAAAATGATTCAAGGATGATTTCATCAGATGCGACTGTTTCATTTTGATGTTTTTCTCTGTATTCATATCATTAAGTATTATTTTAATGCGGTAGTATTTTTCAACTTTTCCTCCACTGTACTTAGTAAATTTGTAGTGCTTCATATATCAAAAAGTTGTGTCTCATTAGTACTTCTGGCCCTGGAATTGTCTCCTATACTGGATTGCATCCAGACTGATGACTTCCTGCTGTTGCCTGATCTCCTGGGGATCAAGGACAGAGTTTGGTTTTACCAAACTCCAACGTTGCTTTATTGAGTATTGTGATTGGAAGGCCTATTGGATAAGTCCCACTGTTCATTCTTTGTATAATAGCTTTTGAGAAGATTTGAGAGAACTAGCTAGGAAGTTGGAAGGCAGCATCCAGTGTTTTGAGTCCAAGCCAGGAAAGGCTTCAGAACAAAGCCAAAATATCTGACTCATATCTTCACTGCGGATGAATCAGCTTACGCTTGGACAGGCAGATAGCCTGGACTAGAGACAAGGCCCTTAAGAGACTCCCTAGCAAAGAAGATGAAAACGTTAATTGGATAACGCCCCCATTATATATCTTCTTTAACCTGTAACAAAGCCCCAGCCAAGGAATGGTATGTTATACATATTTTGGCACATGTTAACATATATACATGTGTGGTGTGTGTTACCCATGTGTATATCTCCTTCCTTGATCATAAACATTGATAGTTATTATTTTTGTGTGTTTTTTTATCACCCATGAACTTAATATTCATGCAACCATTTTAAAAAATATATAATAAACGAAAAGAGTTATCTTCACAAAACAAATGCAGTTATCAACAAGTCAAACTTGTTGCCAGCTTGAAGGTCATTTGATAACATATTAGAATCTAATCATTACAATGACCATAAAGGAAATTTACGTCAATTTCCTTCCTTATAGTGGGTCAAGAAGCCTTTACTTACACACAAGACTTCTCCAATTCAATCTTGGACAGATCTAATTGTTGTAAAGTACTTCTTATAGTGAGCGAACACCTGCCTCCCTATAATTTCCATCCATCAATTGAGCTTCTGCTCTTCAAATACTTGCAGATGCTTATTTTGCACCATTGTTACCCTACGGGGCCTTCTCTCATAGCTCTTACTTTCTTCAAACTAGTTGTCCCCAGATCTCTCACTTTTTTGGTTGTCCCACCTCAGAAGCACTCTCACCTTCTCTCTGAAAGGAATGCGCCTCTCAGATGTCATGAGACAAGGATTATTCCACCCGCTCACATCCGTCTCCAACATCGTAATGCCAGTCACCGTTAGAGTTTTCGAGTCGCCTGATGCATTTTCCAGCACACATCATCTTCACGCCATCCAGGCTGTTTTTGATACAAGCTCCCTTTTGATCCTTACGTGATACCATTTCTAAAAATTGTATTCCCGGTACCTATTTCCATACTTCTTGTAGATGAAAATGCCTCATCTCCCCAAAGTAAGCCCTGGCCAGATTGCTTTTTTAAGTGACTTTTAAAATTAAAGACTTATTTACAACCACATCCAGCCCTTGCACATTGAGCTCATACCCCCAGGAATGATTACCGTATTAAAATATTTTTCCTCCTTCGTAAAGGACTTTTGGCAGTGGCCTCCATCAGCATCTAATATTTGCAGTAATCGAGGTTATCTTCTTCCACATGGTACTTTGTCATTCAAAACAGCAACTGAAGGAGGAACCCACCATACGGGAGCTTTGTGAGAACTCCTTCTTGAATGAGGGATAATAAAATTCACCTTCCCTTTGATTTTTTAGGGTATGTAACGAGCTCATTGGTTCCCTAAGTGGTTGTGGGTCTAGGTCAGAGAGTGGAAGTAACCAGTGCTGCCTCTTTCCTCAGTGGCCTTTGTGCACCTCTAAACTATCTCACTGTTCTACCCCTCCCGTCCCTGCCTTCAGCTCCCTTAGGCGAATTTTGATCATTTACCGAGAAGCACTCATCAGCCCACATTCAACGAATTGTCCCCAGGTGTCTGTCTGACACCAAGACATGCTTGGTCCGGGCCATTCATTTCTTTACCTGGGGCAACCAACCTTATTCCAACTCAGTGGCCGGACTGGGTATCTTACCAGGTCTTCTTTGCTTTTTAAACTATTTCATAAAGAATATATGTAGAAGAATAGAGAGCATAGCATACTGTACCCCTTTCACTTACTAACATTTTATGATTTGATCTCATCGATGTCGTTTTCTTCACTGAAGTATTTTAAAGCAGATACCACACATCATAGCATTTCATTCCCTAAATATTCCAGTATGCCTCTCCAGAAACTAAAGGAAATTTTCTTATATAACCACAATACTGTCAGCACACCTGACAAAGCTAGCGATAATTCTATATTATCATCTAATACCCAGTCCATATTGGAATTATGCTAATTCTCCCAAAATGTCTTTTAAAGTTGGCTTGTTTGAATGATCCAGTCAAGGTCCACACATTACATTTGCTCGTGGATCTTAAGTCTCCTTTTTTTATGCCTTTTGATTTATCGAGCAAGTTTTATTGATCAGTAAATTGATTTGATTTATTCGTCACATAAAAAAAATTCTTCTGCACGTAAAAGAAATTAAGACTTTGATTTTTTTATGCTCCCCCTTTTTTTCATGCCTCCAATATGTTTATCGTTTTTTTTTTTTAATTTGCTCTAAAATTAGCTCTTTTGAGCATAAAAATGAGCCTTAATTTTTTGTTGCTTTCTCTTTGCACTAATCTGTCATCTGATATTTAGTGGCTATAAACTACCATCCCACATAGTCGCTAATGTCCCTGACACAGTTATTATTTTAAACACTCGGCTCCTTATTCACAGTGTTCTAACAGGCGAAAGAATCATGGTGTTCGTATTTTATATCTTGCAATACCAAAACCAATAATTAACAACAGTTTTTATCCCTCTGTGGAGCCTCGAACAGTTGGGGATTGAAAATACTCACTGCATTTTTAGATCTAGAAAAAATACTGAAAGTTATGTCTATTAGAAAACTAATCTTTTTAAATGTGTAAGATTTACCAAGCCTTTTCAAGCATCTGACTTCCCTTTTAATTCTCAAAACAGTGTGTGAGTTAGGCATTACTGTTCTTTCACAGGTTAATCAATTAAGGTATGAAGAGATTAAGTAAATTAGAAAATGAACTTAAAACCATTCTCTGAGAGGCGCCTGGTGCTTAGTCAATGTTTAACAAATACATCTTCTTAACTGGCTACCTGAGGTCATGCAGCTTGTAAGTGCTGAATCCAGGACTCTTTTTGTTTTTTTATTTTCTGCCTAAGGCACCACTTTGGGAAGATGCACTCGTGCGAGAGAACCATACTCTGCTCCGACCATAGCTTTGTCTCAGGAGCTGACAGAGGGCCAGCAGAGAGCCAGAGCTGACCTCCAGGCCCTGGTTACTTCTTGCCTCGACCATTACATCACCCTTGCGGTCCTGCGTCAGTTTCAAAAATTGATAGCCCCTTCCCCCCATGGTAGCCATCTTTCTACGTAAAATACGTCGACGCCTCTTTCTTTCTCTCAGGGTGAAAATCTAAACTTGGTGCGCAGAAAGCCCATGCACCGGGCCAGTGTTTTTTCCACTCCGTCACCTTTTATCACTGAGGTTGTGTATGTGTGTGTGTGTGTCTGTGTATGCACATGTGCATGTTTGTGTGTGTGTGTGTGTGTGTGTCTGTGCACGCACATGTGCATGCGTGCTCAGACGATCTAATTAACTTTTACCAATAACTCTTTAATGCAGAAATTGAGTATTTTTTTTCTGGTTTCATTTTTAGAAAATTTGGTAAGTCACTTCTTAACTTATAAAACAGATAACTTAGAGATCGGTTTACATTTTAACGAGGTTTCTGTTGGTTCCTTTACGTTGGAAATTTCCCAGTGCATTTAATTAATCATTAAATATGTAGCAGAGAGGATGGGCATTTAGAAAACAAATTATACTTCACTATTGGGAGCCAAAGCCAGTTAAAATTACTTAGACCTGCCTCCCCCCACCCCCATAATTATTTACAAGTAAAATTAAGAATTTTTGAAATCGTGAATTAGAGGCAACAAATTTTTTACTTTGAATAATGTGTTCTTTTCATGTATATCCATTGTGTTAAGCAAAATTTTTACAGCTACATAGAAAACGAGGTTCCCCAGGTACTGTTGCTACGCGTCAGAGTAAGTGCCAGTAACCGTCTGAAGTAGGGTAAGAAGTAGCTTTGTTACGATGCCCATCTTACCAATAATTTTCATCTCCAGTTCTTTGCATTCTTTCTCAGCAGTCTGACTGGAACAATTTAGGCTTATTGAAGATTTTTCTCATTATTTTCTTTTTCTTTCTCTCCCACTGGCCTCTAGTCAGGGTGCTTCCCTAAAATATGTTTGCCATGTGTGGGGAATTTTACAGAGCCTCCCCTCTGAAAGGTGTGTGTGCATGTGTGTGTGAGAGAGAGAGGGAGCACGTGTGTGTGTGAGAGAGAGAGAGAGGAAAAGACTGCCTGTGTGTGTGTATTGGCAGGGGTTTTTCATCCCAGCGCCAGAGTCAGTGGACTTTTATTTCCAGTAAGCTCGAATGCAGACCCAACCTGATTCCCACAGCTGTCTCTGAGGTGCGTGTCTCAGCATCTTTAGTCGTTACCTTCCTTGCGATCGAATCGCCCTGCGGATGGGAAATAAAAGCTGGGGTCTGTAGCTTTAGGCACGGCTTCCTGCCAAGGCTGGGAGAAAAGGGCAGTTTTGATCATCAGACATCGTGTTCCAGAGGGTCCCAAACGTCCAGCGAAGAGTCAAGAGGGAGGAGAATGGAATCTGCAGCTTTGGAACGTGGCCTCGCTCTCTAATGAGAGTCATGTTTTGTTTCCCAGGAAACT